TATATATTTTAAAATCACTTTTATATACTGGATTTTAATAGCAAGCACACGCCGACATCAACGTCATTGAATTATGATATCTTTTTTTCTCTTCGAAACTTCCTCTTTCGGCTGATGCCAAAATTTTGAGTAGAGCCTCACTAGCATTGTTCTGATAAATCGTTGGTAATAACCTCTGTCAAGCAGAGACCGTCGCATCCTGCTTCTGTCATTCTACAGAACCCAAGCGTGTAATGCGTGCGCACGTCGAAATTGATTCATGTTTTCCCTCCTTGCAATAAAATGTTCTTCTTTCCCCATTTCGTTCTCCGAGTGAAGAATTGCCGAACATTTAATTCGCATTGACTTTTACAACACCCGACCAAGTTTATTATATGGTCACCAGCACGGGATGCACGTCAGCATCAGTATGCCACAATCAATAGCCCATCCTATCTTAGATGTGTCATTGACACTGGTAGAGCAGTGGTCTCGTAATTCGATGCGCTAGTCGATGCGCTAGTGCCCTTTGGTAAGGCATTAATCCCTATTATCAGGTCCCTCGGCGGAGAGGATCTAAAGCCATCGGTCCTCTGGTTGCTTACTAACAATCATTTATGCTTCCTTAGCAGTCAGGTAAAATAATCACCACTAAAATCTCCACACTGCAATAAGTCCTATAAAATGTCTATCGTCAAAATCATCATGAAATCATTTCCTTACAAATATCTCAAGCAGATTTTTCACCATCTTATTGACGGCGTCATCGACATCATTACGGACTCGATCTTTGCCATTCCGCTGTCGACGGCCTGTGCCTCACGCAATCTGTCCTTGTCGTTACGTTGCGCCAGGCCATGTAATTACACTTCACTTATAGATGATCATCGTCCATGGCGAGGGCAAGCCATGAATTCATTAATAAAGGCGTATTTCTAAGAAGCGAGGGCACTGGTGCACGCCCCCTCCCTTTGGTGGTTAGCAGAGCATACATTATCTGCTTGATGGAACAGATTATCACTTGGATGTGGTATTTTTTTAAAATATATTGGTTTGTCCGAAATCACAATCATTTTTGGGGGTGATGCAATGGATCGATGCTATTGTTATATTATACATCCTCATATCAAAACATTACACAAACCATGGAGACTAGGCAAACTAGTTATGTCCATCATGGAACACTTTATTATAAAATACAGTTCCCTTTATTTTGATGGTGCTATTGTTCGTGTGTTAGTCCTAGGGATTCTTTCTCTGAAACACTTATTTAAAAAATATCGAGGGAAACCTTTTAAATATCTTAGAATATTTGGCTTCTTGGGAGCAATTACCTGTTTGTGATTCTTTTCTTGAAAGGACTTAAGATCATTAAATACGGATCGCGTGCTCAATCTTGTAGTTGAAAACAAGTCAGTTAAAATATTGAAACCAGCTGGATTAGAACCTGCCATCTAAACTGCTTGCTGGACAGCAACCCAACCACCAGGCTACACGGTACATGTTCTTATTCTGAAGCAAAACATTGATCTTTCCAAAGCCTACATTGTGGAAATTCCTTAAACCCATTGCCTACTGGAACCTATAGTGGCCCATGTATTGTGCCTATGTCAATTGATGAATTTAGTTATCAACAGGTAAAAATATTTTGCGATTTGCATTTTAGAGATCTAAAGTAGATGTTAAGTTTGAGAGGCAGTGACATTAATACATTTGCGTTTGTGTTACATCGTTATACTCAGCATTTTTGTTTACAACATCTGTTTTCATGTTGTGTTCAACTTAGCCTATATAATTATGAGCGTAATATACAAATGAAAGGGTTACGCAATTTTTGTGTGCCCAACATGCATACTAACTATTAAATAATGTCTGAGGTGGGCGTCCTACGAAAGCGTTAGTTGACGGTTGGATGGAAGCCCTATATAGGGTAAGTTTTCCTAGAGGGAAAACAAAAATTATGTACATTAAGTCAGTTTACTGATGATCTTTCTACGTCAATTGTTTTTGTTTTGTTTTTTGCCATTTCCAATAGATGGAATTCAGATGCGGATCTAGGGGGGGGGGGGGGGGTTCTGGCGGTTTAACCCCCTCCGGAATATATATCTGATAAATATCTTGATAATCAGACAGGCGATCGACTTGTAAAAGTAATGGGATTTCTGACTGACCTAAAGGTTTATAATTATGATTGCTGCATGAGCTAAATCCAGGATTTTGTTTAGAATCTGAGACAAAGATACCCAATCCCTTTAATATATCCTGTATAATACATTGCCGACGGTTTCGTATGATAGACGCCAAGTGGAACTCTCTCGTTTAAATATATGACAGCATTCGTTCGCATCCCTCTTAGTATTATCTTGAATTTTGTGCAATGTCCGGGTTTTGCCGTCGAGGAGAAACTAGGAAAAATCATCTCGGCTCTTCACGCTCCATCTATCTGTCTCCTTTACATCTTTAGATGCATTTTAACCTCAATGTCCAGTTACCATGGCAACACCTTCCTATGGTTTCGTTTGTGAAAGCAAGTATTATCATCTTTGATATCGCTAGGTATGGCTTTTTGTATGGGTTTTACCAGGAAAATGGGATGCGCAAAACATACAGAAAGCCACATTGTGGTTGCATACACGTAAGTGTGCATCTTTGGTCGATGGCGTTGGATGTAAGACGGAAAACAAAATGTTCACGTGCAATCTTTCTGCCCGCCCCCCCCCCCCCCCGACAAAGGCTAATGAAATTTTAAAAAATATATAAAACATAAAATAAAGCAATAAAGTAAACAATACTTCATTTTCTTTCAAACAGAATAGACGTTACAAAGCAAAACAGGGCGTAATTTTATCTTATTTGTTTGTTGGTATATTTATTAAAAATCTGCCTCAAAACCTAAGCTGAATTCCCCCCCTCCCCCCCCCCCCCAAAAAAAAAAAATATATATATATATATATATATATATATATATATATACATGTATATATAATATAATACGATAATTTTCGAAAAGTAGGTTAGGTTAGGGCGCAGCGCACTGATAAATTTGAAAGCATAAATAAACATGCATGATCATGAGTACTAATTCAAATACAGGAACAACTTGCGATATCTTTGATAATCTGCCTCACAACATAATACAGTACTCCACAGGGAGTCATCCTATGTACGCAACTTACAAAAACAAATTTGGAGAACTAGAATGAAGTATTAGGCATAATGCTTTAGGATTATTTTAACCTCGTTATGAGAGAGAGAGAAAGAAAGAGAGTGAGAGAGAAAGAAAGAGAGATAGAGAGATAGAGGGAGAAAGAGTGAGAAAGAAAGGGAGGGAGAGTCTGAGTGGTCAAATTTTGTTACTTTCTACGTAAAAAACCTACAATAGTGATTTTTCGTTTCTGTTTCGTTTTCGTTCGTTTGTTTGTTTCTTTGTTTTGTTTTGTTGATGTTGTCGCAAAACATGCACCTAAAAATACACCCCCATCGTTGTTCACATGCAGCTGTGCCAAAATATATTCAGCTTGTGCTTGCATGGTTGCTCGGACTCCGGTAGCCTACTATATTAATCTGAGAAGCCAATACTTACAAGTCTAATAAATCCTTCAGAGCTGTCAGCTTCAGTCGCAATTTTGGCATTGAGATTGGACCGCTGTAGACACAATGGAATATTAACCCCTTACGTGCCAGGGTATGTGCCTGTGGGCGGTGAATCCCATATAAAAACCGTGAATGTTGGCAATACATTGATATTCTGAGGGAATTTTGTTTTAAACAAAAATGTATAAAAAGGTTTAACTAAAATGTGTGTTCTATATACTAAATGATTTATGCTTAATTCATTCATGGAATCAATGCAATTTCATTTCATACGTAGATTCCACTTTTGATTTCAAATGTTACTTGATTATAATTTTTTGTATAACAATGGTGACACAATTATGGTTCAAGACAACTGAATTATGGTGTTGTACATCAGCATTGCATTTTTAGCTGATAGCTTAAAAAATGCCTCGAACCTTTACCCACTATGATAATAGTGTAATATCTATTTGCTTTAGTTTCATACCTATGTTCACTTATACTTTTGATATGTTTATTCAATTCATGTTTATTCAATTCATTTATTTTTCCTCTTTCAATCTTTCATATTGACAATGATGGTACATTTTAACATATTCACATATTTATATACATATAGATCAATTTGCACAATACAATACATAAAAACAATAAACATGAAATTGAAAGGGAAGGAGGGCCGACTATTAAAAAGCAGAGCTTCTAGGGTGAAAGATATTGTTATAGATACAAAAGTAGAATGGAGCGATAAAATATATCAAATGTTTATGTGTTTTTATCACTTTTGATGATGTTATCAGAGAGCATACTGTAATTTTATCAATTGATAAATTCGTGTTCTTTTCAAATTATGCATTAATCTATTACGGATGTATGTAAGTCCTCACGTTATCTAATATCAACTAACAGTAGGCCTACAAGAGTGTATTGCCCTGATTTTTCAGCAAAATTGTTTCATATGAAGACACACACATATTTGTGTGCATACAATGGATATTTTTGTATTTTTGTATTTATCAACATGTATTTCCTTCGCACAATATAAAACACAATGTATATATACATGATATATATAACATTTTTTTCAACATAGAGTATACAGTAAATAATTCAGATATGTCTTGTATTCAAGTATTATGAAATGATTTTTGTTTATTACATGATTTTACTAATGACCGGTCATTATCAAAATTACGTGTTAGTCAAAATAAATGCCTGGTCACGTGTACGCTCTCAACCAATCATTTGATGAGGATCCGCTTGATCATCTTATAATACACGTTATATTGTCTTTTCAACATCCCATGGTAAGTTTAAAACCTTAAATGATACATATCGTGTACTGTTGTGAGGATTGATTCATGGTTAAAGCAACAAAGCGCTGCACCATCCTATCCGAAGGACACCGACGAGCACTGCTTCCTAGTCTTCACTATCCAGACCTCATGATTACAGGTATTCTCGAGTGAATAATACAGAAAAGCCTGATGTTATTGCTTGAGAATACACGTAGTATACGGGTCACTCACCGCTGGACAGACAGGAGTTCATCGAAAGAGGGGTCACGCCGCCGCCGGAGCCATCGGGCCGGTCGGCCAAACCAGAGGTACTATTCTAATCCATCATCACTAATGAAAATCCACGTTGCAATATCGTAGAATCGACTGCCCCGTTGGATATATATATGTATTTTTTGTCTATATTGATGCAGGGATGCCCTTATGAGGGGAAGGGGGCAATTTCCCTTGTCAGCTTTAACATGCACTATGGCGATGTATAGCACATAGTGGAGTTTCATTAAAGGGTTTCCACATATGGAAACATACACACGGTGTTTATATTGAGGTAAACTGGTAATGGAGGAGAGGATCGCATACAATTTTCATCTAAATATGCTTTATTTGTGATATAAAAAAGTCGGGTCGACCCATCCAGAAGTATCGTACAAGTAATTAATTGGTGCACTGTGGTGTATATAAACCATACGTTCTTTTAAGTATGAAAATGCAAATAGAAATTTTACGAAGTTCTAGTTAAGCATTATTAAACACCTATATCCTTTTTGTTGTTGAAAGATTCAAGGATATTGTTTGTGCCTGAGCAAACATTAAAGTGTGAATGTATTTTTCCTATTTAGTACTGGTAATGCGATTGCATTGTGAAAGATAAGGTGTGGAAAGGATCAGAAACAGTTGATCATGTAGCATGTAAGTATTGGTGTGCACTGCAAGGTTCTGGAGTCATCAAAATCATAATAAATTTGACCGAGTCTTGGTAAAGTAACAAGCACTCACATATAAAGCTATATATGGGACAACACACATGGTGTCGGGGCTAGTACCTTGATTTCCTTGTCTTTCTATGCTCATTACTCAGCCAGTATACATTTTCTTCCAAAATTGTTTGGCATATGTCATTTATTTGTAATCTTGAACATTCAGTGTAAGTTTCATTTGATTCTGTGAGAATTAATTTTTTTTTTTTACCAGTACTGGAGTTTATCTTTAATTTACAAAAAGAAATACGTGTTTTACAGTATCTCAACAAACAGATTTACGTTTATTCTTAATATATCCGGGAGGTATTCAGTTATCAAGAGATCAACATGTTCAGCTCAGTCTTTATTCAATTCTTCAGTTAAACAAAAAACATAAACCGTTAAGATATATACATTTCAAAAGTAAAATACAAATGAATCCATATAAAATAATATGAATAAAAGGGACCATCATTACAAGCCTATTGAGGTCTAACAGTTTGATGGTGCCAGGAGTTGGCAACTTATAACATTAATTTGTCGGCAGAAGAGAAATAGGTTAAACAAAAGTTGTTTGGGGTATCAAATTACAAAATTCAATGAATAGTACATAACAATAACGTAATTTCAGTATGCTCATACAAAACGACTGGTTCGGAAGTCCATCAATTTTCCCAAAGAGATGAGACTCATTGCATAAAAAGCAATAATATTTAGGAGTTCGGAGCTGGTAGCTTGGTTATATTTACTTGCGGATTTTGTAGTGTAAACTGCAACAAATCCATTCGCATTGTGTCGATTGTTTGCTCACAAAAAGTACAATATTCATTTCCCCCCTCTCCTTCTCTCTCTCTCTCTCTCTCTGTCGGTAGTCCACCTCATTTTGTCCATCTCGGTAATGCTTTTTCTTGCCGGTGATATGACAGGATCAGATGCCTTACTAGGGTTAGCCGAAGGTCATATGCTCAGCTGCAATCTTTAAATAATGGTCGAAATGGATGATGGAAAACAGGTTTATGCAGCGGGGGCGAGGGGGGGGGGGGGAGGAGAAAGCAAATATGTAACTTACTACTCTCTCATAAACCTTTTCCTACGTAAGTACTATTTTCCTTTCCCCATTTCTTTGATTTTTCTCCTTTTATAATATTTTAACTTTAATTATTGCTATCATGTCGATGGGGATTTTCATTATCGTCAATTTTTTGTACTAGGAGGTTGAAATAATATTTTGTAGATTTTGTATATCTAATTCGTATTTTACTGAAAAGGGGTCTACTTCTAAGAAGGATTAAAGGTTCAATCAGACCCCCCCCCCCCTTACTGGTGTTATTTCATATTTTGCCGTTAGGATGTTGTTTTGTATGATTTCTAATTTAATGCGATAATTTCGAGTGTGACTTTTTGCAAGTGTGTGAGATGCCTTTCTCTCTTTCGTATATTGATTTTGTAATGATTAAATTACCTAAATTAACTATAAGACTGGACTTAATCGAGCTGATATGAAGTGAGCAAAACGAAACTTAAGTCAAACGAAACAGACAGAACTAAACCAAGCCAGATTGAAACCGCCTAAACCAATGTTATTTTATTAATCTGATTCAAGCCAAAATGAAGTAAATAATGAAATACTGTGTTAATCCTACATTCCTCAGTGAGTTCCGTCAAATCTAAATTTGCGTAACTGAATATTGAAGATACCAGCCCAAACTGAATCAAAAACACAAATTGAACATGAACAAAAAGGTTATAAAGGCCTAAACAACTGACAGACACACAGACTGGAAGTACAAACTCATGGTACTGTACATACCAAAGGAAGGATTTAGACAAAAAATAAATTTAAAAAAGTCGTGTGAAAGTATTCGCACATGTCATGGATATAATTATTCACAGAAAACTGACAACTGGCGTTTACCATTATTGTTGAAACAATTTTGGGTTGTTTTCTTTTCCACTTTCAACATGCAAAAATAACATTGTGTGCGGTTCACGTGTCCCGAAACTCTCCTCAGATTTTTAAAAAATTTCTTTCTTTTCCTTATTTTCTCTTTACCCGATGGCGATTTGAGGAAGGCGGGTTTTGGGGGAAAAGCATTTTGACGGGGACTCTCCCCGAGGTACCAATTTAGCTAGGGGCACATAAAGAATCGAGCGGAAGAAAATATGGAGAGAACATTTGGGGAAATAACAGACGTGTGTAGTTATTCCGCATGACAGTTTCGGGCGTAACTAATCTGATTTAACATCTTCTGGTTGTACCTCAAACAACATCCTAATGTGCGAAGATAAACATCACATGGTCAGAAATATAAAATGGAGAGAAAAAATGTAACATGTTTTTTTTTCTGTTATCTCTGAGGCGCCGTTATTCATTCCCACGGAAAAGGAAAAGGAAAAAGGTTACGTGATGGCATATATTAAAGATTTATATTTGGATATGGATTGAAATACTAAAGAAATAGAAGAAGAATGGTGAAACGTGCATGTGAACATTTATGCATGAGTTGAGCTTTTAAATTTTGAGTTAGAAAGACGAATATGTGCATTCGTAATGTTTAATAAACACTAACACGATGTAGCCTATATGAAGTGCATCGGAAAAGATATTATAGTTTGTATTTTATGTCCAAACTGTCAGAATCGACAACAAAATATATGAAAGAATAATACATTAGCATACACTTGTACTCATTCAAGCGGTTTCCACACAAAAATCCAACATGATTGAGTACGAATTTTAACAAGAATGTATTCGGATATATAGGCACATTTCTAATCGTCTGTAGACCGTACAATAGAAAATACAAGAGAAGAAATAGGGAAAGGAGACTGAAATTATGGGTGAAAGGAATCGTGTGTGCATATGTGTGTGTGCGTGTGCGTGTGTGGGTGTGTGTGAGAGAGAGAGAGAGGGGAGGAGAGAGAGGAGAGAGATGGACAAAGTGGGCGAGGGAGAGGAAAAATTGGCAGGAATGGTAGATCTAGAAGAGGAATGGAAAGTCGAGTCAAGAAATTGAGAAAACAGAGGGAGAGAGAAGGGAGAAGAGAGTTAAAGAGAGAAAGCCTGGGAGAGAGAAAGAGAGGGAGAGAGAGAGAGAAAGATTCAAAGAATTGGGAGGATCAAGAAGGAATAGGTCTAGTAGATAAAAAAAATATTTAAAAAAACAAGCAATGGTGAAAGAGGGATAGAGAGAGGGAGAGAGAGAGAGAGAGATTCGAAGAATTGGGACGGTCAAGAAGGAATAGTAGATAAAAAAAAAAGAAAGTCAAGAAATGGTAAAGAGAGAGAGAGAGAGGGAGAGAGAGAGAGAGAGAAAGAGAGAGATGAGGATGGGGGTGAGAGTTAAAAAGAAAAATCAGGGTGAAGAAAGAGAGAAAGAGAGGGGCAAACGCGTTCGTGTGAGTCAGTTGACATTTATAGCCTGAAACATTTATCTTCATGAAGAAAGAAGACACCTTTTATTACTTAATTCACTTTTTAATATGTAAGTCTAAGGTGATAAACACAATGTTACCAGTAGGCTCATGTGCTAAATACGTAAAAGCCAGATACTTTGACCGCATGAACGAAACAGAGACTCGATATGCATTCCGTCCTCTCTTTAAACTTAGCAAAATTGGAGTCGCAGGCACCCATAATTATATCCCCTCCCATTTGCTTCATCATCTCCAAACCCAGCGGAACGAAACCAGTGAATCACCCACGCTCGCCCCATTACTGCACGACTATTACGCCGATGATATACTCGGCAGTTTAACATTTTCAGCGGGCGCGCGATTATTTAGATCATGATTTATGAGCGTAGTGACTGCGTACGATAAGGACTATATCCATTATACAGTAGAAAAGAGCGGGAAAATGCATGCCTTAATTTTGCACATAAATTGTCCGTGCGTGATTTTCTCCGCCAAAACCGAAACCCTGATTTTCCCTTCTCTCTCTCTCTCTCTCTCTCTCTCTTCTTCCGTCTCTCATAAATAACGTTCGAGCCTTGAGGGAGGAAATGCAAATGCATGCATCGAATTATGAACGTTCAATTGAGGCATTTCTTTTTCCTTAAATGCACCATTTTATACATGAGTACTTAAAACGACGGGCAATGGTAATTAGTAACGGCAAACTGGCGAGTGCTTTCTATGTCTTTTTAAACGTGTAAATGGTTCCCCCAAATTATGTCCTTTTCTAATATTAATGACTGTAACCTTGTGTCCGAATTTCCAAACTAAGATTGATATGAATAATGCAACGCTGTGTTAAAA